TGTGTGTACGTGTGTATGCATGCATGATGTATGAACCTGCCTATGTAAACCTACACATATGCCTGTAGAGAGAAAACTCAGCAAGGGCACAGGAACAGAGACGATCTAGCTTCTTGGGTGTACATGATGATACACAGAGCCATGTCATATTGGATGCAGACAGAAGCTGTAATGGATTCTGATTGCAAGCCACCTCGCTCATTGCACATGCGAGGAGAGGCCTGTGACGCTTCGCTTGATCGCTTAAGCCTTGAGCTGTGTCCAAAACTAGACTTATCATGGTCGAGGTCGTTGCTGCTACTATCACAGACGTCCCACGTTGCTAAGCATGAGTGTTTGCTCCTATCAGTGGCATCAGCATCGTTGTCACCATCTTTTCAGTCGGATCCGAGAGAACCCTTCAATTGCCCGGTACAAGAACCTAAAACACCCCAAGAAGTCCTCAACCCTAGGAGCACCCTGTGAACCCTATACAAACTCATCAAAACCCAGTTCGAATCTTGAGGCCCTTCAGATTAGGGTTTAGGGTTCAGGGTTCAGGGTTTCGGGTTTAGGAATCGGGCGCGCGCCTCCTTGGGCCACGTTCAACCACTCCCGGACCCCCAAGCGGCCCTGCAGCATGCCCTCGGCCTTCATCCCACTCTTCCTTGGTGCTCTAATTTAAGGGTGGGGTTTAGGGTTTACGGAATTTTGAGTGCAGGGCTTGGGGTTTAGAGGCCTTCACCCCGCTCTTCTTTCGAAGGCTCAGGGTGCTTTAAGGTTTACTCTAGGGTAGTTTACGGATTCTTGCGGGTTTTCTGTGTTCACTGTATGAGGTCTTGGCCTCATCCTGCTCTTGTCTAAAGGATTTTGATATGTTGATATAAATCTCAAGCGCTTTCGGATTTAGGCCGTGTTAAGGTTTTTCAGACTTGCGGTTTAGGCCTGCATCCATCTCTTCCTGGGGAAGTGCGTCAGTGAAGAACCAGATGCTTTGGGTTTGATGGCTGGAAGTTCAGGATTCCTGGGGCTCAGGCTTTAGCCGTATCTAGAGAACTACCCATAGGAGAACTTCCGGCGTAAGAAGCTTGCAAACCCCACAGACACCTTTACAGCCCTCATACAGGCTTCCACAATCCCTCACAAAACCCTGATAAAGCCCACTCCTACCTACAAACTCCGAAGGCCAAAACCCCTCCCCAAATCCCAAAGAGACGCAAACACTCAACCCTAAGCCTCAAACCCTAAACCGGCTAAACCTTAAACTCCCTAAACCCAAAAGAACGCACCCCGCCCTTCTTTTGAAGGCCAAACGTCCCCGACACCGCCGTTGGTCGGAGAACCTCTGCACCATCAGAGTTGCGGGTTCAGGGCATTTAGGGCTCGGGGTTTAGGGTTTTAGGGCTGAGGGTTCAGGGTTGAAGGCTTTAAATTGTTAAGGCTTAGGGTCTAGGATTTAGGGGTTTTAAGAGATTTAAAGCTTAGGGTCGAGGGTTTAGGGTTGAGGGCTTTCAGGCGCAGGGTTGGGATTCCTCGTACTATGGCTTTGAGCTGTCAAAGCCTGTCTGTACAAGGGTTTTCCTTGGGCAGGCCAGGGCAGAGCAGGGCACGGCAGATGAGGGCAGGGCAAGGCAGAGAGGGCAGGGCAAAGCAGGGCAGGGGAAGTGCTGGGCAGGGATTTCAATTTTTCTCAGGAGCAAAACTGGTGTCGCGGGGAGGACGTGTTCCGGCACTGGGCCCGAATTGGGTGCCACGATCCCCATGACCTTGCGGGGGGCCACCAATAGGTGGGCGGCCAATGCCTTAAGTTTAGGGTTTATCCTAACCCATGGCTAGCATGGGCTTTTCGTTTGGGTGGGGTTTAGGTTAAGGGCTTTCCGGGGCTTATTTTTGGTTTTGCGCGATGGTTCTGCAAGGTTTTATATGGGTCGGACTGTGCATGGTTTACGGCGCAACGGACGAGTCATCATGGAGCTGGACTACAGCTCTATGATGCAGGTTGGGAATACTAAGGGGTATATTGTGCTATATTGCGCATATATATATATAGAGAGAGAGAGAAAGAGAGAGAGAGAGAGAGAGGGTACACCCCAAAAAGTTGGAAACCGCATTGAGAACAATTCGCATTGGGAACCCTTATACACTACTCTTAAAGTTTGAGGCCATTCGGTTTCCAACTGTTGGGCTTCTACTGTATGTGTGTGTGTGCGTGTGTATAT